TGTAAACATAGTTCGCAGTCGCTATTCTTTTTGCTGCTACTATGCTACTTGTTAGGACCTCATGCGAATTCTTGCTTCTAAAGGACCAGAACTAGCACTAGATACTTGACAGCCCATGAGGCTTGGGCTGCTTTCCTGGCTGAATTTCTCAATTATCTGCCCTGCTCCATTTTATCTACCTTCCTGGGTGATTCATGTCTAGTCTCAGTCTCTTTCCTGGCTAGAAAAGGCGAAAGATCATTTCTGGCCAGTGACCACCCACAGTTAGTGTCTTGGGCTTAGGAATGTGAACGGAATCCTAGTGAGTTGGAAGATTTGGGTGCAATTTGTTATCAGTTTAAAATAGCTAGTTTTGAATATTGTCTTATGTTTTATTACAGTGAGATCCTTTGAGGATTTTACTGTAGATATTGCTTTATTGGTCATAGTATAAACATGTTAATTTATTCAGTCTTTTATTCAAAACTATTAACTTGTTATATTTTTAAGAATTGTTATTTATCGTGATGAGTGCAGAAGATAATCAGAAAGAAATATTTTTAACTGTAAAGAACATCTGTATAGGACTTTCTTTGTGGCAGGTAGCTTCTAGGTATGCTTGGGCCGCATGACTGCAGCTACACAGGGTCAGCCCTGGTCATACCTGTCGTCTCCAGTCTCAGTAACCACTCTATGAAGTAGGTGTACTCTTACTTCCTCTTTTTTACTGCTAGGATGAGGAAAGGGGAAGAGGCCCAGAGAATTTAGGCAAGTTGCTCAAGGTTGCACATCATTAAGTAGCAGAGCTGGTCTGTGAACACAGACCACCTGGCTTCTGCACCTGTACGCTGAGTCCTTGCTATTTCCATGGTCCTGCAGTGTCAGCATCTAGTTAGATATGTAGAGAACTGAGGAGAAATGAATTTTAGTAATATTCTCAGGGATACCTGTGCAGAGTCATGTTTAAGAAGCAGTGCCTGGAACATTCTACTTTAACCTTACCCCAGCTCTGAGAACTTCCTGTTGTGATGAGAAAAATAAGTGGGCCTTGAAACGGTTGTAATATGCACAGAGTATGTCTTGGTCATAGCTGTTCTTCTGACATTTAAGGTAAATAGGCAGAAAGCCAGCTGAAGGCTTCGGAACTTTCAGGTTCCTTTCCAGACCTCTTCATGTCACATCGGTCTCTTCTTCCACGCCTGTGCACATGCAGGTGTGCGCACAAGCACAGGGCCAGTCCCCCTTGGCTTTTGTGAGACTATAGAGAAGATGTGGGATGTCACTGGCAAGGACAGAGTCAGGCCTTTGTTCATGAATTTTCATATCTTGAGTCTGTTCCTTTCCCTTGGAGCCATCCTCAAAGTCTGTTCCCCTGGGAAGTGCAGCCGAGCCAGGGTTCACTCCTTGCCTCTTGGTAGAATTAGCCCTAACAAGCTGGCCCTCTCTCCTCTCCCATTCCAGTAAATAAATGTCTTTCTTATTGCATAAGTAATTATAATCCAAATGTAATCACATAATAGACGTTGAAGGAGCAGCCGGCCAGCCTCAGGGAAGTTGGCCAAATTAAAGGACAGAAATGAGGGAGGCTTTCCAGGCAGAGAAGGATATGTGGGGGAAAGGAAATAAGTTTAAGAAAAAAGAAAAAAAGACGAGACCTGAAAGTGCATGGCTTATTTTTTGTTGTGGCCAAGAGATGGCAGATGTGGTTGCACCATGGATGTCTTTACTTACTATGTCTGACAACAGTAGTTAGCAGAATTTTACTGTGTGGCAGCCATTCTGCTAATGACTTTACTTACATTCTATCTGCAAACAAACTTTTAAAATAGACATCATCTTTCTTTCTTTCTTTTATTATTTTTATTATTACTATTTTTTGTTTTGTGTTTTGGTACTGGGGATGGAACTTGGGACCTTGCGCTTGTGAGGCAGGCAGCAGAACCGCTGAGCTAAATCCCCAGCCCCATCATCTTTATTTGGTGGATGGTGAAAGAAAGTGAGTGATGCTGATGGGAGAGGTTAGAAAGGCTTCCCGAAGCCACACAGCTGGTGAGTGAGAACCTGAGCTTTGATCATGGTCACATTGTATCCGGGATCTGTTCATAAGCAATGACTTTATAAGTTTTACTTTTCTGTTTTCCTGGGAGACATCTATTTCAAGACTGCATCTAGGACCTTGGTGTAGACAAGTGCTGAGCCACTGAGCCCTACCTCCAGATGGTGGAACTGCCAGGCTTTCTGTTGGAACGTGGGTCTGCAGTGGTCAGGCACTCACTGTGGTAGCACTGCAGCATGACCTGCTTTTGAGGGGCTTGCTCAGCTTAGGTATTTTGGGCTTATTTAGTTATTTATTGGCGGGGGCTTCTTTAAATGTGGAAAGTTAAGAAAATGCAGGATTCCTGGAGAACATTGGAAGAGGAGTTGGTTCTGCTTATTATCAGTCCTTCACTGGTTGCTCTGTGTTTTGGTTTATATTGTTACCTTATATCTTAGTTCAGTCAAAAGTTTCTTTTGTCCACAGGTAAATTACTCATAAGGATATTTTGTTCCCTTTGAAGTTGTAGGGACTCTGTTTTTCTAAAGCCATCAGATTTCATAAAGATTTCTGTTTTCTTTAGTTTCTGCTTCTTTTGTTCTTGCAATATCAACTAGTAGCATAGTTATTATCCAGTAGTGGTAATATTACTATCTTAGTACTTGGTTCTCTCTTATCTGTTTTATTAACTGTCTCTTTTTAATATTCTGATCAATTAACATTTCTTCTAATACTTTGTTCTGTGAATTGCTCTAGGAATGATCCTGAGTCCTTTCCTCCAGTGACTGCACCAAGGTGCACGCACACAGGCGTTTCCTCTTTAGACTCAGAACCATATTCAGAATGTGTAGTAATAGTGTTAAGCGGTGGGAAAATTAGAGGATGTAAACTTGGGCAATTCACTTAAGTTGATAGACCTCAGTTTCCTCATTGATAAATGAGAAGGTAGGGCTTCTAGAGCTTTTCTTTTCTTGTTTTTTTGTTTTTGTTTTTTTTATACCGGGAACGAACTCGGGACCTTGTGCTTACAAGGCAGGTGGCAGAACCATTGAGCTAAACCCCCAGCCCTTAGAGCTTTTACATGAAATGTGGAGATGGGGCTCTTGGAGGAGGTCTAAAGTTCATGTTCTTAAGGAAATTTTGCCAACACATCTTGGTTGTGTTTATGTTTAATAGGTTTTAATAGTCCTATAAACTTAACTATCTTATTTATTTTTCCAATTTACAATTTATTAATAGCTTTAATGAATTGTGAATGATAGTTTAATTAGATCATCTATGTATAATTAGGGCAGACACCCCCCCAGGTGGGTTTACCTATATAATTAAGCATTTAAGAGCATTTTTCCAAAGCAGAGGAGCCTTTTCTGTCTTCCTAATAAACACTTAACACTTTCTTGAAAAGTCACCTATATAAAATATGGAGGGTAGTTTTGGCCTAAGATTTTTGCATATAATGGTAACTCAGACAAGCATGACCTAAGGCAGTAAATTGAGTTTAGTGTTAAACTGTGGAATTTAAGAAAAATCTGTTTCTGTTTACTACTTATTTTCATTTTGAATAAAGCAACTTTATGGCCACTTCATATCTGTTTTGAGTGCTAACTTTTCAAAACTGGCAAGTAGATTTTCATGAAAATGTTCTTTCTGTTTTGTGAAGGTGCCACTTTAAACATGTAAAACAAAATTAGCCTTATCTGATGAATAGTTCCCAATTAATAGCCCAAGAACCAATTCATGTTTGGCTTTGCAGTGTGTTTTTGTGCTTAAGTTTGAGTATGGGTGTGCCTGATATTCTCGGAATTTACAATACTTTAGACAAATAAGGAAGTCCCACTGTGAAGACTCAGAAGGAACTGGAAGGCTGACAGATAGAATTCTTCTTTGTGGTGGGCTGAAACCCTTTCCATCTGGGACCGAAAATTTGCCCAAATAGAATGGCCCTGTCTCTTTTCTTTTGCTATATATTAATTTATGTGGAACTGGGTGCTTGCTAGATAATTTTAACTTTGAATACCTGAATTATTTGTGTGTTCTTGTCACACCCATCACTAGCAGGTAATTATGAAATTATTAGCTGCTTTAAAGAGACTGTTATTTTATGTTCATTGCTTGTTTGACTGCACTTCACAGCCATTCTCACACTAGACAAGCTAAATTGGTGCCAGAATATCAGAAACTATTTCTCTCTGTATCACTGTATATGATGAGTTAGATCAGTGCTTCAGGGTAAGAAGTGGTTATTGATACAGGTTATGTGACAGACCCCATAAAACTCCACTTGTTCCGAAACTCTTCCCTATTGGCCTGACCATAAAGGGCCTCAGAAGATGGGTTGCAGAATGGTAAGTTCAGGGATGAATGGGAATAGTTTGGGGTCTTTTTGCAATAAATATAATTTTAATAGTACAGCTCAATGGGAAAAGAAATACAGATTAAAATCAAATATGGGCTTTTTGTCACTATTTCTAGGATCTCTCTAACTTGATGTAAACTTCTTACAACAACTTCCAAGGAAATTCTTGTTCCACTTCTATTTTATCATAAATAAATCGAATGGTTTCCCTGTTTGTACAATAAAATAGGAAGGATATTTGGAATGGAAAAAGCTACTCCATTTGTGATCAGTATCACACAAAATCACATCAGAAAACATAAATATCTCAACATCTCAAAATTAAAAATGCACGGGTGATCAATACCATTCAAATAAATTTGCAAGCTACTTCAGTCTCCCCCAAAAAGGAACAATACTTAAAAAGCCATAAAAAAACCGTGTCCATTTCCAAGTACCCAAATGGAAAGAGCAAGATGCTATACGTGGTATTTTACCCCCCGCCCCAGGCGACTTCATTATTTAGAAAACTGCCTGCTCTCCAGAGACTGAAAATGGGCCTCATCTTCTTTGGGGTGGGTGAAAAATCAGTGACACATTTGTGCAATATCCCGTTTCTCAGGAATCCTGACACTATACCTAGTTGTGTTCTCAAAGCCTCTTCATATAGTTCTGGGTAAGTCCTGGGATCTGTTTCATAAGGTGGGCCATATGAATTAGGAGTTTCATCTTGCTGGTTTCAGTGGGGGCCCTTGGACCCCACACGAACTCATACTGAGCAGGATCACTATTAGGAATCTGCTGGTACATCAGGTTCTCTTCCCATACTAAATCCTCAGTGATGAATTTCCAGGCTTCCTCAAAATAAATATGCTCAGCCTGAGTTAACATATCCTGTCTTTGCACTTTATGGGTTAGGACCTCCACGCTGATATGGTTGCCCTCTGTGAAGATTAGTGATAGGACGAATATAAGGATGTCAGTTTTGAGAGTGATTCTTTCATCATTGCCATGTAGTATCCCACTGAACATAAGACCCAAAATGGGGACTAGCTCATATGTGTTGCCAGAGTGACCCATTTTCCTGATATCAATGCCAAAGTCCAGATGCACGGACTCATGGAGTTTCCAAAAGTTCATGTAGAAATCATTACAGTAATCATGGGGCACGATGTACAGCATTTCTTTCATGGTGCCCTTCTCCTTCTTTTGATACTTGTGGAGCAGAAATGGCACCAACTTACATAACTTGGGATTTAGGAGCACATCTTGCAGGATGTGAGAGAACTTCATGATCTTCGAGGAGCTTGAACCCTCATAGGATTGACTCCTTTGACTGGAAGCCATGAGGACAGCAAGAGCTTGTTGAGGACTCAGAAGCTATCACATCTCCACTGCTGGAAAAATTGTCAATAGGGAAGGGTGGTGGGGACAGGGGTAATGGGAAAAGTAAGATCCAAGATACATCATGTAAAGGTACAAGATCCCAACTATGAATGTAACTGTACTGTATACCTAAAATGTACCAATAAACTCAATGAGAAAAAAAAAAAAAGAAAAGAAAATAGAGTGCTGAGCAGTAGCAATTCATCTGTTCCAAGAATCCAAATCCAGATTTTGAAAAATCACAACTAAGAATTTTCACTGCACAATGCAAGGCTGGTAACAGAAGCAGGAATGGATTCTTTTCAGAGTCTCCTCTCTCACCCTCAGCCCTGGTGTCTTGTTCAAAGAGAGTAGATGAGGCAAGGAGGCTTGATGGCACATGAGTGGCTGGGTGCCTTGGAAGAAGGGCTAAGTAACAACTTGCATCTTACAGGCACAGCATCATGAAACAACCTCTGATGATGATATATAACCTCTGTATGATGAAGATAGATGACCTTGTATGACTGAATAATTATGAGCCCTATAGAATAATTACATAATGCTCAATATAGACTTTGATGTATTTGTTCTATATGGATCAGTAGATTTTGAATAGGTATCATTTGCTCATATCACTTGCCTATTTTCTCCTTTAATTCATGATGAACATTTTCTTTCTCAGATGTTCTTCTAAAGCACTATTCTTGTTATAAGACTATTTTAAAATATGAAATTAGTCATTCCCATGATAAAGATACTTTATTCCTATTTGCATAGTAGGGGAAACCAAGCTTTAGTTAAGGTTGGCCTTGTATGAATTTGTGTACTAGAAATCTGTCATTGCAGAAAGAGCCTTTTCAGTTTGACTCTTATTGCATATATGAGAAAATTATAGCCTTTATTATTTCTGTGACTGATCGAAGCTAGATCTTTTAATGTCAGAAAAGGGACTAGCAGTCCACAGTGTCATACTATATTTGATCAATATGATGTGTCATATTTTCCCTTTCTTAAGACACATTGAACATTGTGATGCATACACTATAGTTAACATCCTTGGGGTTCTTTTGTGGCTTATAACTTGGATTTAAAATGATACTGAATCTCAACTTTGGCCCATGAACCAAAACCCCTAAGGGAACCCCTTTCCTTGGTTTCAAAGGCTTGAGTAATCTTCATATCTATGTTGAGTTGAGAGTTTTTGAGGTCAGAAATGGGTTCTGATGTCAAATATCTGCCCTTTAAAACCTTAAGTGCTAACTGGAACTGGTGGAACTTCTACCAGTGAGTTTTATTCATAGGTACTATTCCTGTGCACTGAAATATCAGTTTGAAAACCTTACCTACTGTTATGCTAGATATACTTAGTGGCTTCAATCATGTATTCTGTCTCTTTCATTGATGAGAACATACTGGAGAAACTGAAATTCAGATAGGTAAATTGAATTGTTCATTCCCATAGCCAGGTGGTTAGTAATTATTGGTCTAAGTGTAGCCGATATCTTGGGTTTATAAAGATTGCTTAAAATTGAACAAATGCTCATTAGAAAATTGGTACAATATAAAGAAATAATATTATGTGCATTCTTAAGACCCATACACAGCAGTTGATAACATTTTGGTAAATTTCAAGCTTTTTTTATACTTTGAAAGTTTCATATGCATAGATTGGGGGTTGGAAAGGTACAGTAGTTATTGACCAACTTCATTTAATCTCCACTGTATTCAAGATTTTGAGGTCAATGGATTACCAGTAATGTATTTAGTGAACATTTCTTTCTTTCTTTCTTTTCTTTACTTTTCTTTTTCTTTTCTTTTTTTTCTTTTTTTTTTTTTTTTTTTTTTTTTTTTTTTTTTTTTTTTCTTTTTTTTTTTTTTTTTGTGAGTCTCCTAGGAAACTTTTGGGAATGCTTCATTTTTTTTGTTCTCTTGGATTAGAACAAGCACTAATAATGTGAAGGCTATGATTTTAATCCAGCATACCATTTTATACTGTCTTGCCAACCATTTGTAATTACATCATGGTACTCACAAAGTGAAGTGATGGATCTTTGCAGAATTGATAAGAAAAGTAACTCAAAGCACAGTGTGCAAATGGCAGGTCTTCTTACATATGTTTTAGTAAAATAGTCATTCTTTATAGTATACTTAACCACTGTTTGAGATTTATATTTTACCTCACTTTTATCTTCAGAAGATAGGGCCTTTGGGAAGTCCAACTAGAGCTGTAAACCACCTGAATTTCAGTGGGCTTCTGACTTAAAAGACTGTATGTCTATCATGTGAAATCCTCTAGAAGGTGGTTGAAGGTTATATTTTTACAGTTCTTTTAAACACATTTTAAAAAATTTTGCCAAGTAATACCTCTTCAATTTTTAAAATTAGGAAAACATAAGTTTTCTTAGGAAAAAAAAGTTAATGAACATGTCACCAGAGACAATCAATTTTAAAACTTTAAATCTTTCCACGCTACCTTTTTCTATGTAATTGTGTGTGTGTTTGTGTATGTACCTGTGTACTTTTTGAATAATTACTGTGATGTTTATATAAGGATTTATAATTCATTTCTTTCCATTTGGCTATACAGCATAAACATTTTCATATTTAGCTAAATGTGATAAATTATCTTTCTTTTTTTGTATTTTGGTTAAGTTTATTGGTACATTTTAGGTATACAATACAGTCACATTCATCACTGGGAATGTGTACCTTCACATGATATATCTCATATTAACTATGAGATATATAACCTATAATAATGTTTGTAAAAAATGCAACTATTTCATTATTAAAAAGTTGCGAAGAATGGAATTGCTGAAGCAGGAATACATGCATTATTTTAAGATCTTATGGCTATTGCTGAATATCCCTAAAAAAGCAAAACTAAAAAGTTTGGATTTCCTTCACTGGCATTTAGGATACCAGTTTTCTTCTAGACTTCACAGTCCTGGATATGATTATTTAAAAACATGTTTGCCTGTTTAATAAATGAAAAATAATATATAATCACTATTTGGATTTGTAATTCTTTTAGTACCTAATGAGGCTTAATTACTTTAAAATTGGTTATTAAAATGTTTTTCCTGGTTGCTCTTTTCCTTACTGGGAGGTGTTATAAAAATGTAATTTTTGCCAGGCGTGGTGGTGCATGTCTGTAATTCCAGCACTCAGGAGGCTGAGGCAGGAGGATCGCTGTGAGTTCGAGACCAGCCTGAACTACATAATGAGTTCCAGGTCAGTCTCAACTATAAAGTGAGACCCTGTCTCAAAAAACCTAAATAAATAAATAAAAAAGTAATAAAAATATGTAATTTTCAAGTGCTCTTTATACATCTTACTTTATAGTTAACTTGTTCTAGTCTTTTGCAAATATTGCTTGTTTTGCATTCATGCTCTTTTCATAATCATCTCCCACAGAATGAACTGACACACAGATAAGTCTATCTCTTCTCTCATTTCTGTAGAGCTGTCTTGTGTACTAATGTTTTTATAAAATAGCCTGTACTGAACTGTACTTCTTGTTTTATGAGCATGCAATAAGATGTTATCTACAAAAGGGCGTATACCATGATGCGAACACCTTTCCTTCCTTTTCCTATAAGACAGTGAAGGGTCCAGTCGAGGATCTGTATCATTTCTGGACGCCTCTTACCCCTGCAGCACTTACTCGTAGTAATAAGTGCAATAGTAGTAAGTAGCCGTAGTAGGACTATGTAGTAGTGATGGAATTCATTTTTGTTTCATATCCTGTATTCTTTACATTTGTAGTTTTTCTTCATGTCAATAAATATATTTTTAATTATTTTCCAGTATATCTAGTAAGATTGTCATGCTATTTTTTTTTTTGTCTAGCATTATCATGGTTTGCATGGTTTATCTTATTATTTTATTTATTTTTTGGATGGTACTAGGGGTTGAACTCAGAGTCTTCACACTGAACTATACCCTTACCTCTCCCCCCTTTTTTTGGTTTTGTTTTGTTTTTGGTACCAGGGTTCGAACTTGGGACCTTGTGCTTGCGAATCAGGTGGCAGAACCACTGAGTGAAATCCCTGGCCCACCTTTTTGAGATAGTGTCTCCTTAAGTCACTAAGTTGCTCAGGCTGAGCTCAAACTTACAATTCCAGAATGCTGGATTGCATGCAGGCACCGCTGTGCCCATCTCTAACATATTTGTTTTAATATTATCCCTTTTACTAGCTTTATTTACTTTGCATAATTACCCATTATGGGTGGTAGATTGTATGGTCATCCTGATCTTTTAAGTGTCAGGACCTCATAAACATGTGGTAATCCAATAAAAATCACTTTTTAATTTTTTTTAAACATGGGGAGAGGGAGTGATGGAGTCTGCACATGGTTTTGTATTATTTTTGAGGGGTGAAGGATAGGTTTTCAGCAGAATCCTCAAAACCTGCTAGTCAAATTCTAAAAGAACTGTTAGACTGGTCTTATTTTTAATATACAAAAGATTTCAGTAGCCCTTTCTCAAAACACCCAACATATGGCTATAAAATATTCTCCTTTCAGTAGATTTAATTAACTCTTGTTGGACAGAATACTTAGCTGGGAAGCTAGGTTGAAATTAATGTTCCATCGTGATTTTCCCCTCAACTCGATTTATTTATTATGGCTAATGATTTGTGGTGTAAGTTACTGGTTTCTAAAAGTAAGTTGGGAGAAAAAAACAGGGGTTCCTATTTAATAGTGTCTTTTAAATTACATAATGCTACCTATGTATTGTTTCAAGGCAATAAAGTCATAAGACTTTATATTCAGCAGTAGTTTGGGACCTAAGTTGTACTCTTCCAACATCTTAGTTAACTTCAGTAAAAATAAATTACTTTCAATAAGGTGTCCGAAATATTCCTCTGGAGGTTTGAAGAAATGTGTTCAGTTCTTACATGTTACATGATCCCAATTTTTTGCTCATACTGAAGGCACATGACTCATACCTAGCCAGTGCGTGGATTAACAAT